TGATGAGTTTAAATAATATGATAGAACAGTACATCATTGTCTCCTTTAGTCTAGTTTCTTAATATATTTAAGGTGACCTAAATAAAACAATTTTGATTTATTTCTGTTTTGTTGTGTAGTGTTCTTGGCTCCGAAAAATATGTGCACTCCTTTCACTTCGGATGGTAGGTATTTTGTGAAAATATTATGGCTCGAATATGTCTTTTCATCTTGGTCGAAATGTGTATCTAGCTCGCAAATAAAATGTCTTATGTGCTCATCGACTTGGCCCAGTCGCGAGCCACTTGGCCCACTTACCCACTTGTGCTGTCGTGATCCACCTAATCTGCTTTCCAACATCTGTTTATAATTTCTGCCAAGAACGAAGAACCTCTGGGCCTATTTGGCATTGCACTTGAGTGAACTTTCGCCCAGCCTCGCTCACATTCGCACTGTCACCCACTCACATCCACTTTCGTTGGTGGCTGGAGCGCTTTAACCAGCTAACCACTTGACTCAAGTGTTTGCTCACTTTGCGGGCTGTTTTTCCCCGAGAACCTTTCTCCCGCTTTCTCCCAGCCGTAACCGCTTCGGTTTGAGGTTACTGCTCTTTTTTTCGCATATGTTTTGACACGCTCTCTTTTTTTTGCACCCAGATGTTTTTGTTCTCCAACGTTTTTTCTTGTTTTTCTTTTTGTTTATTTTTGTATTTTTTTTTTTTGCGACCTTCCCTGCTCCCCATGGTATCTCCATTGTCTGTCGGCTTTCACTCAGTTTATTTGTACTCATGCATCATAAGGGTTTAATGGATTTGCTGTTGGCCTAGGCGGAGGTTCCCGTCTGTTTTGCATCATTTACCCACTTTTCACACGCCCCTAAGTGCGAGTGTGTGGGCCTACGCAATGATTATCATATTACGGCCATTGTGTCTGCAAGTCGGTGGGCCACACCTCACCACCCCGCACTTCCCGCACTTACCACTTCGCTTTATGACTTTATTTTCGCCTCCCCTTCTCGACGGCAGTTAATACATTTTTATAGACTTGCCAAACTACTTAGCCACCGCCCTGGCGGCTTATTTTCCTTCCTCGAGGACTGTCTCTCTATTAGCTTTTCGCGTGCTTTGTCATTGCCGTTAATAGACTTACTTTTCCTTTTCGGCTTAGTGTTGGAGGCAAAGTGGCGACGGACCAAAAAGCCAACTGCCCACCTGACCAACTGAGACTGAGAAAGACTGGTCATAAAAGAATTGGTCAACGCCGCGTATACGTAATGCGCAAATACGGTTTTATTTATGTGCGAATAGTTGGAGGTCTATATAATATTTAATGACTTTACCATGGTCGCTGGGCCTTAAAACGTTCAGGAATTATAAAGCTTTTTGCCTGATTGTCAATTATTTTATGCGATTGGGTGTCTCTTTAAAAAAGCAACCGAAAATAGAAAGATCTCTGGGTGAACAGGTTTTCTGCATTTTAAAGTTATTTATCTGTTATACTATAATCTAGTTTATATAACATATACAGATCCTTTTTCAAACATTACATCTTATTAGTTTAAAAGTTTTGAATACTTCTAAATATTTCACACATCTGCACATTGTATTCGGTCACAAATATTATAAGCTAAACTATCATGGATGCCGTTTTTACGTCCACAAAAATAACCATATTGGTAAGATTTTCCTGGCTCCTTAGTAAAGAAAGCTGTGACCTAAATTACTAAAATTGTTAATCCAAAGGCAAGTAGAAATTAATGTATAAAGCCACCATCTAGTGCACTTAGCCCGAGTTTTGGCAAAGTCTTCCCTTCCTCCGGTTTGCTTACAAATTCCGTTTACATTTGCCAAAAATTTTTGCAGACTTCAGCAGCATCTGCAGCAGTCAGATCGAGAAGAACAACAATGGACACGAAACTGGCTTCGCTTGGCCATGTACTTGGCTTGTTGTCGTCTGAAGCTGTCTTTAACACACATCAAAGGCATTATTAACACCGCATACACAAGCAGGGATTCGGAATGATGCCTTCAAGCAGGCTCAGAGGCCAAAAACCCAAAACATGTGTCGTTGTCCTTGTTTTTGTCCTGGTGTGTGTGTGCATAAGTGGCTCTATGTGCGAGGGTATTTATGAGCCGCTGTACTATACCATACTATATACAGCTAGCAAGCAATGTAATACATATGCATGTAAACTGCTTTTGGCGTGCATTAAGTGGTCTTAACTTTCCACACAAGGACATGCTTTTTGTGGTCTTTTAAATTATTTTTTTACCCCCAGTCAAGGCGAGTGTTGCAAGTACGTCTGTGCAGCCAATAAAACTTATATTGGTCTGTGAGCACGTATAATGCCAAACGCATTTTATTAAAATATTCGGCCTTAATTTGTCACTTAAAGAATCTTACGTTAAGATGTAATATTTATAAACGTCGGAAATGCAAACTTGGTGCTGGGACTAGGGAACAAATATAAGCTTTTCCATTTTGTATATATTTAAAATGGTTTTTAGGTTGCTAGACTTTCAATTTTATTCGGTAGTAATGGTCTAAAAGTAAAAGTTTCTTAAGATTTAAGATCTGTCCGAAACATTATTTGAAGATGCTTAATTTCTACAAGGTTCCTTCCGTACTTATCTTACCTTAAATTTTATTGAATTTTTTTTAACCTTACTTCCACCCTCAGTTCTCTAACTTAATACTTGCCTCAGCTCAAAACACGTAATCCTACCTATTTGGCTTGTCTGGGGCAACTTCAAATTTACAGCTGCCAATTTGGGAGTCAGAACCCGTCTGACCCTTTTTTCTTTTAGCTCATCAGTGAACCAATAAAGTATGCTACCAGAAAAAGGGCTTGCAGTTGATGTTTTATTTCCTCGTTATATGTGTGTGGGCCATACAAATGCAGTTTGAGAAATATTTACCTCTACACTCACCTCCAGCCCTGTTTGTTCTGCGAAATCAGGTTAACGAAGAGTCTTCTGCTATGCCAATTGAAATGCGTCGGGGAATTTGGTTCAATGAAGAGCCGGTTGCAGTTTTCGACAGCCACAATTAGCATACCGGGCCTACAGTTCTTGGAGCAGTCAAAGAATTTGCAAAGTGCCCGGGCGCAGATGACAAAGATGGAACTTGAGCAGCCTGATAAATTGAAATTTGAGCTGAAACGTTCGTTAGTTTGCTGAGGCACTTCAGCCAAGATACTCCTGCTTTTGCACAGGCTTCTTCTCAACGTCGTCGTGCCACACTTCAAAGTTCGCGTTGTCGCCAAGTTCGGCGGGTAATGAAAGTTGCGTGCCTCCTTGTCTGATGTGATGGCAAAGCGCCAAAGGACGTGAGAGGACGAAGGACGCAGGACGAAGGACGAGGACGTGACGGCGTCAAGTCGCAAGGCGGTTGCATTCAAATTAAATAGCATTTTGATGAATATTGATTGATTGCCTTGGGGCAAATTAGAAGCGCAAACCGCATCGACAAAGTTTTTATTTGTGCGCCGCAAGCGAATGGGCGGTCTAAAGTTTAGCCTTCAGTTTTATAGTGGGCGGATTTGGATTGGAATTATTTCCTATTCAATTCAATTTAAAGCGAACAATTTAATTGGCCCCAGATTTGGCGTAATAAACTAAAACAGACCAGGAGATTGTGGCACTTTTAAGCCTAATGGTTAACTCAAGAAATTTGTGTGAAAAATGCACATATTTACTGGCATCTTATACGAAAAAGTTTAATTATTATTTAAATGAATTTTTAGTTTACTCATTTCACATTTTTCAAATTAACCATACAGCTTCCAAATTTAAAAGTAGGGCTATGACTTAGATTTGTTTTCTTGACATTGGAATTTCAATATCAACTGTTTACGTTTATAATCCAATTAAAATTGATATTTCCGTTAAGATACATATTCAAAGCAATCAAACTATGCAAATATGGTCTACAAATCCAATAAATATTTCTTTCTGTCGATTTTTCTTAGCTACCAACAGCATAACTTTCATTTCGCGGGTATCGCTGGGAGCTTTGTTAAATATGAAAGGACTTCCTGGCTGCCGAGCCAACGTTAAGTCATTTTCGTAATGGAGGCTACAAAGTATTGCAGTCTTTGCCGACGACAGAGGACCCACAAGGCGAGGCAATGTCCTCCGGACGAAACACAATGCAAGCGGCAACCGGAAATGAGTAAACAAGCGTCAAATAGTGAAAACGGCGGACCCAAGTACAATGCAATTCCCAGTAGTCCCGGCTCCACTCCACTCCACTGTACTCCACTCCTTGAGTCCTTTTTCGTGCCTCGGCACGAGAAAACAAATAAATGAAACATTAAACGAGACAAGGAGCTGAACCAAAGGGGAACAGGGAGTGCGCGAGGGTGGGAAAGGGGAGAGGGGACCGTCGCAACAGGACGAAAAATGAGCACCGAAGACAACAACCGGATATCCTGGAACTTTATAAGGAGCTCCCCAAAAAAGGACAACTACAACGACAACGACAACGCAACAACGGCAAGGACAACGAAGTTTATTTTAACTTTTGATTTCCGCCTTTTTCGGCACAACCCAATGCCTTCACCCCTCTCGAGTGCATTGGCAAATGATTGCATGGAGTGGCAAAGTTGCGCTTTCAAGAGAATATCGAGAAAGTCGGCTTGGCATTAAAAATGAATTAAATTCACAACACAATACTTTGCTGAAGGCGACGGAGGAGAAAACAGGCGGAGAAACAAGAGACATGTTTTAGCTTGCACCTGACAATGCTTTAATCCGCCCAATTAAATATCCTGTGGGTAAACAATTAAAAAAATAACATGAAATCAACATTGGACACAAATATTTAATAAATAAAAAATATTACTAATAATTTATCGTCACTACATGCCGTCAATAGTTTTACTATCTAAAACTGGTACAAATCTGTTCCCTAAGCACGGAATCAGATATTTTTGCCGGTGATTATGGAGATATAAAAATAAACAAGTAGGCAGAGGTTTTTTGCTGTCAATCTATTTCCTACCTGACGGTGAAGGCGGCCAATATTATTCAGTTTATTTCTGGAGCCCAAGCAGGAATCACCTCTGGACTTAAGCTCCATATTCTCAGTAATTTTTCGGTTTACTAAAAAAATTTAATTTTTCCGGCTAGTTTTAAGAATAAAGTGAATTATATAAGCATATAACCAACACAGAACAACGACAAAGTTAGCGTTTATTGACCTAGACAACGACACAGTCAGCGCTTGGTGGCCTGGACGTATTTCACTCAACACAGTCTGGATTGGTTAGTACTTCTTTTAATCCTCCAACTTTAAAGATCATAATAGGATTAATGAACCAGAACCTAAAGAGTCTACACCAAACATGATACGACTGCATGAGTAAGCTGATAATTTTTTCTCTCCTGCAGTCCATAATTCCTGGCTTACAATAATCTAAGACGGTTTTCTCTGATGGCACAGTACTGGCAGTTACTTGAGAAGTTTAATGAATACATATCAATCCTTGACTGGGAATATCTCACTGGAATAATAAAATACCAATGTTTAAAAATAATATATATGTACACTTATACTTTTATTCAAAATAAAAGTAATAAATACTAAAAGTATTATGAAGTTAAAAAACATTTATTTTAACATTTCTGATATCGCAGATTATCCTAGGTTTGAAATAAATTTTTTAGTAGTGCAACCTTTGCAACCAATTTGCAAATAAAATTCACTTTTTAATTAAATCTTGATTCGATCATCATAGCCTTGACTTTAAATTTTTCAATATATATTTTGGGAGCTGGCACTATTTCTTAGTAACATTTAGACAGTCGAACCTTACACAGCTTGTCTCTGAAAAAACAAGTAATAGAGTTTACAATGCCAAAGCAAACCATTGATTCGTCTTACATTATCTCAAGGTAAGATGACATTTCGTACCGATCAGAAATAGTAACAATTGCTTTGGTTAAGGGGGTCTAGTAATTTGTCGATGGTTCCTGAAGATGATCAATTCGACGACCTGGAAGAAGGCACTGAACAAAAGAGTCGATTCAGCCTAACCACAAGCTTAACGCGGTAAGTCAAAAGGTCGAGATATTTGACGAAAACTCAAAAAGGTCAAATTTTGATAGCACGCAGAGTGAGATTTTGGACTACAGACAGTTCAAGGCAGCTCGCACAATTCAGTGTTTCGTACGCGGCTGGCTGGTGCGCCATCATCTCAGAAAAGCCCAGGAGTGGGCGATTGTCATACAGAGATGGTGGCGACGTTTCCAGGCCCAGAGAAATCTGAACAGTGTGGCCGAAAAGGTCCTGCAATCGACTATTTTGGCCCACTATGACAGGTCTGCCACCCTAATCCAGTCCCTTTATCGCGGCTGGTGGTCGCGAAAACACGTCTACGATCTCACCATGCTCAAGACCCTACAAAACACTCTGGCAAAGGACCTCGTCCACACTCTGGTCAAGTATTTGTACCTTATGAAGCACTCTGATCAAATGCCAGGAGTTTACACAATAAAAGAATCGGGGTAAGTGTTCGATATTACAAAAAAAACCTTATATTAAAGTTTAATAATCAAGTTTTATCATGGAATCTCTAAACTCAAACATTTTTATTTTAATATTTACAAAGTCATTTTAACAATTAAATCTTTAAATTAAACACTTGTTTATATGTGGTTCTTATATCGCCCTTTTTAGCATGTGTCTTAAATCATTTGAACAACTGATGGCAACGTTCGGCTTTCGCTACTTTAACGCTCAGGCCTGCTACATAATGAACAAGTCCTTGTCAACGGTGGCCCAGGGGCGAAAAGTGTTTGGACGCTGTGTCGATTTTACCGATGTACCATACTCCGGCTTCAATGACAAGGGCATGTGCGTGAATCGGAAATATTCCGTTGTGCATTTAAACGCAACGGAACCCGAACACTTCGAATTGGTTCAGACGTTCCTGGCCGGTCATCGAAAGATGGATATGGCAGTAACGGTTAAGCTTGACAAGATTGCAGCCTCCGCGGCGGAAGAACTTCGTAAGTTACATTTTTTTTTAAATTTGTACACGGACTTATAGCTTCTTTTATCTTTCTAAATGTCCAGGACTTAAGCTGTTAAAGGAGCGAAGCAATAATAAAAAAAGTTTCATCAAGCGCATTATTCTTGAAATGAAAAACTGGCACCATCCAGATGGGGAACCAATTCTGCCCAGCGCCATATTCAAGAAAAATGAACCGGATGCAGTGCTGCACAATGCAAAAATCACCCTGGAATCTCTTTTTGGCAAACTAGAACCCTGTGTTTGTCCCACAACCGAGGACTTATCCTATCTTGAAAATCTTTAACGAGTTATTCTTAGATTTGTATATATTTTTAGTTCTAAAAAATGTTTATGGCAAATCACATCAATGGGCGGTTTATTTAATGACTTTTACTCAAGATCATTCGCATCTGAGTCTATCTGACTGATGGTGGAATTTGTAAATAATTCATATGTTAATTTAAAATTGTGTAATTCAACATTTTTGAATAAAAAAGAATTTTTGGAAAAGTTTTTAAAAAATTGAAATCTTTTTAGTTTTGAACGTAATATTTTAACTTTCTCCTTCTATCTTGAGCTTTGTAAGCCAGACGTTTCATGGCTCTTTCTTCGTCTGCTTAACTTTGTTTCTATTTTTATTTATTCCGCACACACACGAATAAGTAAGTTCAATATTGGCAGCAAATTAAATTTAATGATGTTTGCTGCTTGCAGCCAAAAAAGAAAGGCCCTCGCAAAAAGCGAAGCACAAATTGCCAACTCTGGTAAATATTTGCCAACTGACGCTAATGAACTTGAGCATACAAATGGGGATCGAGCAGGGGGCCAAGACTTTTGGGCTACACAGAGTTGTGCAGAATAAGTTTCCCAAAAGATTTGCCAGACATTCGATTGTGTCGCTGGCTTCCATTAAAGAGTTTTTTCCCACCTCCTATGCCAGCGCAATAAGATGAAAGGCAGCTGCAGGAAAAAATACGGTAGAAATAAAAGAAAATTGGCTTAGAAGCAACGAACGTGTTTGCAAAAAAAAATTCTTTGCTATTGATTATATGTATTTACACATTTCTCTCTTTCCTCATATGGCAAACTTGTGGGTTGGCCATTGTGTGGCCACAAAAGTCAACAGCTCTCGGATACATTCCGTTTTCTCGATTTCCAGAAGGTCTGTTGGGAATGGAGAACAACAGCCAGGCTCAACTTGTTTCAAATAAATGAAACAAGTAGGCACTGGCTTTTTCCTGTCAATCGATTTTCTACCTGACTGGGAATGCGGCCAATATTATTCAGTTTATTTCTGGAGCCCAAACAGGAATCACCTCCGGACATAAGCTCCAAATTCTCAGTAATTTTTCGGTTTACTAAAAAAATTTAAATTTTCCGGCTAGGCTTAAGAATAAAGTGAATTATAGTTTAAGCATAAAAACAAAACACCATAAACTTCCTTATACACGGTAAGTATTTTCATTTGACCTTCTTTGTTAATGATCCTGAGTCTTCTATTTTGACCAGTTGACCAGATAACTACAACATCAGATTATACACTAAATTGCTTCCGAGAAGTTGGCATCTCGGTAAGTATCATATATTAATCTGACCTTCTATGCAAAAGATCCTAAATCTTCTTTTTTTTTCTTAGAAAAGCGGTTCACTCTGAAACTAATCTGCTTACACTACTGAGTAACCTGATGCAAGAATTATACCCAAACTGAACGAGTTGACCAGATAAATACAACACAAACATATATACACGGGGAAGGTGGCATCTTGGTAAGAATATTTATTTGACCTTCTATGCAAAAGATCCTAAATCTACGTTTCAATCCACCCTAGGCTTAAATGATTTTTGCTCTTCACTCTGGAATAATAATAATAATAATAATAATAATCTTCGTACACCTCTGAGTAACCTGGTGCAAGGTCCCCTCTCTCTCCTGTAGTCCATTGATCAAAAACTGTAACACGAAAAATGGCTCATTTAAGTTACTGGATTCTTGGAGTTGGATCTCACTGGACTAATACCTAAATGTTTGATGCTATAATAAATGTACACTTGAATACTGGATTCTTGGAGTTGGATCTCACTGAAGTAATATGTAATACAAAAATGTTTGATGCTATAATAAATGTACACTTATACACTTAAATAATCGTTTTTTATACTTCGGAGTAATTGAAGGCTTAAGAATTTTAAATACAGAAAATTTATGTTCAAAACTCTAAAAATATAATTTAATTAGGGAAAAAGTAGGTCAAGAAAACAGCAAAAGCGATAATGCTAATCATGGGCAGCAGAATAAAAAATACGTAGAAGCGGAATTAACCCAAATATGCAAATAAATTTGCCAACAAAAATGGAAACAAGTCTGAGCCAAGTTGCACATTAACTTCCGCAGCTCATTAAGTCACTGTCAGCCCCCGAGGCGGGAAGCTGGTGGAAAATATATATAAATTTATGTGACGCCAACTGGACGACAGGCGACCACTGAACAAGGCCCCAACCCCTCTCGAATCGACCAAGAACATAGCTATGAAGCTGGAAAACAAAATATGGGTGGGAGGTGTTACAGAGTCGGGCCCCTAACGTATTTAGATAAATCAGCAGGGGTCGCAAAAAGTTGCTGAAAAGGTTGGAATGAAAATGTCGGCGCTTAGAATGAAAAAAAAAGAACAGAACAAAAATCTGATTCGTCCCGCCCTCTTGGTCCGAAGTTTAATTGGGTCGATTCCCTTATTTTGCTTGCGTTTTTTGGTCTACATAAGAAATGCCCAGAGTTTTGTTTTGTTTTCAATTTTTTATGCCGTGCGAAGGTCATGGCCAGTTTTAGGGGGCCAAATGGTCAGGGCAGGCCAAACTAATTAGTGGCCATTTTGTAGGTGTTCCCAGTTTAATTAAATTTTAATATGAACTTAATTGAAATGTAGTAAATAGGGATGTTTATAGAATTATACATTTTTAATAAGGCATTTTATATTAAAGAATTTTTAGGCAAAAGCAAAAGTCAAACGGGAAGTCCAGCTTAAATAAACGGCTATAACAGAAATAAAAATCAAATGTTGTACTCACTTTTTAAAAACTTTGAATAGCCGGCTGTTTTGTTTTTTTTTAGGATTTCGTTAACGGCAGGAGAGCATTTAATGTTTTTTTGTCTCTTATGTATGACACTAATTAAAGAGAGAACAACATTGTTACCAGCATGCAGATTGCACGATATTTAATTAATTTGCATTGTTATTATTCCCGTTGTTATTATTGCCAGGGGCATAATCCTCCGCATGCGGCTATATAATTAAACACACGCGCTGCGAAAAACGACCGACGAGTCAACCGAAGGAGAACATTTTTTCCAGGAAAAATCATTTAGTTGAGTCTGAGCATCACTCATACGCCTACACTCAATATCACTCATACGCCACGGAGGTCGCAAACAGCATCGTGTAACCTATTGTACTTGGGTATGTTGGCTTTTTCCTTGTTTTTGCAGCCTTGTTCACGACTTTTTGGACAGTGCAGCTGGCCGGCGTTTGTCTGAGATCCAATTCGCTGCGCGTTATCAATGAAACTGCTGATTTTTCTCGTCATCGTCGCCAGCATCGCCCCAGAAAGGACATTCGTTCGTGGCTGGTCGGCTTTTTACACTCTCTCTCTCTCCTTCTCTCTCTGGCAGGACCTTTTCTCTCAACTCAACGAAGGTGCCGAAGCTCGTCAGAGAGAAATAGCGCAGGGATATTTAACGGTCGAAATTTGTTTGAAACTGTTTCAGTTGTCGGTTTAGCAGAGTATTAAATTATCCTACAGAAATACTTACTTAATTTAATTAATTTAATTAATTATTAAGGCAAACCATTTGTTGTTTGTTCAGTTTAAACCAATTAGTTACATTTTTTATTAGTTATTTTATTTACATATCATTAAAGTGATATAAGTTGCACTGTCTTATTTGATTCTGTTAACAGTTGCAAGTCCCAAAAGTGTTAAAATAAGGGGAAATCATTTTCCTTATTCTTATTTTACGACTGTTTGTGAAAACATGTCAAAAGGCGAAAAAATAACAGCTCTTATTTACATTATTCCTAAAAATTACATTATAATTAGTTTCGTTTTTATATTTATAGCTTATTTTGGAACAACAAATAAAAATTATTGCATTTAAAATAAAATAATTAATTAATATTTCTTATTATGGAAAGACCAAGATGTCTAAACAACTTAGAAATTTGGAAAAAAATCATTATTGAACGAATGAAGTATTGACAAAATAAAGTCTTACACATTTATTAATAACCTTGCATTGTTTGCATTACACGCATATGCACACGAAAATGCTTCTCATATGCAAATTAAATCGTGGTTGAGGTTCAATTAATTGCCATTAATTAGGAATAATGCATTTACCGCTTAGTGCAAAGTCAAGGAATTAGTGTAAGCCCCCTATCAGTGGGTTTTCATAAGGTTTTAAGATGCTTCAATATGTTTCGCCTTATGCCGCAAAACCCCACCAACTCCGCACTCACTTAAAGCACTGAAAATCTTTTATGACACGTTATTAGTTGGCCCTGAGCAAAAGGAAAGCCGCGAATTGTGCGCCACGGAGGGAAATATGCAGGGGGAGTGCCGACTCAGACGGCTGGCGAGCTTTAATATGCTTAATGTAATTATGAGAATCGCATAGAAGGGCACCGCATCCCTGCATACAAATGAAAGCGTAATTTCCAACAAGGAGGCAGGGTGCGAGGTTGTAAAAAATGCTGGGGGACTTCCGTACCTTGGGCTGTCATAAAAACATATACAACATACGCGATTTTTTATTGTTGCGCCAGTAAATAAAGGATGCATGAAGAAGTCAGTCAATAAAAGGGCTTTAAGATGGTTTTTCAACTTTTAAAGCAGTGGTTGTTATTACATTAACTTATTTGCATTACTCAACTTGCTAAAACACTTTATTTGTCAAGAATTTCCGCTTAAAAATAAAACAACGAAACCTTTTAAATGCTTACTTTCCACTCAGTGCCTTAAAATTGTGATGTACGTTTTGACTAATTGTTTTGACAATTCTTAATGTATATTTGTCAAGTGCGCATCTTATCTTATTCGAAATTTACAATACTCCTGTTGCACCTCATAAGAAACCACCTGAGCCACCTTGAAAACAGTAAAAAGAAAAACAGGACCTTCTATCTATATTTTCCTTATTTACAAACATATTTATTTTTTCGCTTCGACATTCTTAGCGAAACTGACTTCGCGGTTAATGCAGATGGCAGGCGAAGCGAAGCGTAAAATGCTTTGTAAATTATTATGCCAAGTCTGAATTCGGTGTGGGTGCTAGACCCCACATATATATATTTTTTTCTAGAGATAAACACAAATTTGCGCTGTGAGACGGCATGTGTTGTGTCATAAATTTCAATTGACTTATGAATATGGAGGAAAATCTTTTCCCATGGAAAGTTTTTAAACCCAGCACGTGCCTAAAAGCCGATGATTATGGTTTGAACTTATTTGCTGTATTCATATTTCTGCTTGGGCTTATTGACTTTAGAAAAATTAGGTGGGTCTATAAAAGAATGGTAAATTGTACAATCACTTAAATACATAAAAAATATATCAAAACATAATTTTTTAAATCTGACTTTGAGCTTTTTTCAACATATAAATTAAAAAAGAAAATTGTAAATCATAATCCCAAATGCCAAAGAAATAATTATTTCGGGCTTAAAAGTAAGGGATGTATTTAAACCTACTTTAATTTTTAATTTCACCATGTCAACCACCATTTTCTTTATGGATATATTTATGTGTTTGTCAAATCACTTGCCAAAAACAATCGTCAAACTTTTGACCGAGGCCTATGCATCATTTTTATGTGAAAATTTTTATAACAGTCTAAGCGCTTAATGTGCCGCGCAGCTGGGGAAGGAAAACTCCTTGGCCAGGACTGCCACACGCTCTCACAGAAAGTAACACTCGGGCTCAGAGCACCCCAAAGGATATTAACAATAATCTAACCAAATTAACCCAAAGCACTAAAGTGTAAGTGACATTAAGTTAATTTTCGTGTGCGCCAGCGAAGGAATAAACGAGATGAAAAACAAAACGGTAGAGCTGAAACAAAAGAAGTGGCAATAAAGGGGGGGGAAAAACTTACGTTTTATTTTACGTATTGTGTATTTTTTCCACAACTTTTTTTGTGTACTTTTTTCTTTTGTCCCTGCTGCTGTTGGTTGCATCAACTGTGCAAAATTTCCCACGAGATCAATCAGCCACAGGCTGGAACAGGACAGCCAACAACGGCAACAGCAACATCAACATCAGCAACAACGGCAACATCAGTAACAACGGCTGCGATGAGGTGGACTCTGGGTGGAAAAAGAAGCAGCAGTTCCTGTCGCTCCTTGTTGTGGTTTTTGTTGCTATTACTGCCTCCTTTTAAGTTTTTCCTTTTGTGTAACTTTGACCTGCTCAGCTCGCAGTGCTTCTTTTTCCCGCTGGTTTATTGTCTGCAAGTAGTAGCAGCTTCTTTCCGAATATATACGTGTGTAGTATGGCTCTTTTTGTTTTCACCTCTTGGCATTGGCCTTTGGAGTGTGCAGCTAATGAAGCGAGAGTTGATGAGGCAACTTGGATCAGAGGCGTGCAGAGTTCGATGCAAGGGGGCTGGCTGAGTAGCTACTTTGTGGGCCAAAAGTTGGGCTGTAGAATCATTCCAGATCTAAGTTTATGGCTATTGCTTACAGCTATTTTCATACTAAATTTAAAAAGTTTACATTTCCCCATTTGAAACGCCACCTCTGCCTTGAGAGCTCCTTAAAAACCGCCAGGAAGTCGGGCCAAAAACCAAAAGTTGTCTCTCATTAACAAGAAACACTTCAAAGAAGCGCATAAGGCATGGAACTCGGCGCTAATTGTCGCAGCGTGCGTGTGGGTTTGAGGGCCCTCATCCTTCGACCAAAGTCAGGAAAATATGCCGCCGAAAAAAGCCACTTGATTGATTAATGGATGGCAGGCGCCAGCGTCGAGGTGACAAGTGACCAAGTCAGGCTGTTCGGGGATTTGCTGCCGCTAAATGATGTGCCAAATTAGACACGGACTGGAGGGAAATGAGGTTTTCTGGGGTCATTCAGCGGAGGATGGAGGGGCAAAAGT